CGTTTGAAGAACCGGGGTAAAACTAGCGTGTTTGACTGGTGAAGGGAATTTAGGTTTGGTTCAAAATATCGGGAATTAAAAAAAAAAAACGAGAGTTCGAGAAATCGTGGTTCTACTGTACTTCACTGATTGCTCTGAACAGTAATAAGCGAGATGGCTTGAAAAATCCACGTCTCGCTCAACCAGAAGTTGCATGTAGGTTAATTCATTGCCGTCCCTTTGCTCACGATTGACCCGTGATTCTCCGCCAGAAGACGAACGCTTGATAAATGCCGGATTACTGGAAGGTATGTATTCAATAGTTTTTGCATGTTGAAACGTCGACGGAACCTATAAATGTCTGCTCTGTTCTAGTCCGTTATCTAGTCTGTTCTTACTACAGATTTCTCAATGCAATCGTGTAGAAACCGCATTCGCATCAGTTTCTGATTCTTTTCAATGTCATTTCGTTGACCATGTGTCCAATCAAAGATAAAACCAGAAGAAACTAAAAGTGTCGTTAAAAAGAACAATTGAATATAGCCCAGACGTAAAAATCGACGTATTCTGATCGGAACTAGAAATTAAAGTGATTGATACAAAATGAGCCACGCGTCATAAAATCCATACTTTTTTTTAGTCTATTTTCCTCAGTTTTACTGAAACCATCATCCCAATACATATTATTATACGTTCTTAACTAAGAAAGGGTTACGTCGCCAAGTAAGACGAAAAATGAACGGTTCAGAATCTAAAGAAATATTAAAAGAAAAGTCGTCCAATAAAAGGACAGAAAATATATATCATCGAGCACGAAAAATCTTCAATAGATGGGTTGTTACAGAGGGATTTCGGGTTATGTGTGACTTTTGAAGCAGATCTTGAGTGAGAACGAACGTGTAATAAGATTTAGAAGTTCCACGACTTTCGGATCTTTCATTTCGTTTACATTTAGTTATGAAAAGTGTTTTCACTCAATAATTTGCCACTCAAACCAATTCTGGATTGGTGACGCCATATGAAAATTGAGAAAGGTATTTCGTTTAATAATCTCCTATAGATTTCTTCCTCCGGTCGTAAAGAGACAACAAGAGTGCAGTATCAATGTTTAAATAAGAAACTAAATAAATAATTATAAAAACAGGGAATTTCTTCCCTTTTTCCAAGTGCAAGGTAATAGATCCATGATTACCCTACACCTATACTGTGGCTCGCAGTAAAAGATGCCATTTCATTGGATGAATCACTGAGAAAACAAACACTTCAGCCAATGGCATTGCTCGTTGGAACATAGGTACAATGTTCTCTAAACTTGTTTCTACGAGCATAGAATGATTCATGACTATCACAAAATAGTCGGAAAAACGAAGACAAGACAAGAATTTTAAGGCTGAAAAACGAACAGAGTAGGTTTGTATATTTTTACTTAACCATGGATTCTTCAAAAGTTACGTTACGTATTAATCACAATTTTCCTATTTCTCTGCAGTCCATTGATTTGTCTACTGAGACACTGTGGGTGGTACAACTGGAAATCTTAGAGGTAAGTTGAATGCCTCATAATAAACCGTGTCAGTGTGAAGTTTTGAAGAACATTTCCGTCGACTTTTTTAGAAAATGNACAATGTTCTCTAAACTTGTTTCTACGAGCATAGAATGATTCATGACTATCACAAAATAGTCGGAAAAACGAAGACAAGACAAGAATTTTAAGGCTGAAAAACGAACAGAGTAGGTTTGTATATTTTTACTTAACCATGGATTCTTCAAAAGTTACGTTACGTATTAATCACAATTTTCCTATTTCTCTGCAGTCCATTGATTTGTCTACTGAGACACTGTGGGTGGTACAACTGGAAATCTTAGAGGTAAGTTGAATGCCTCATAATAAACCGTGTCAGTGTGAAGTTTTGAAGAACATTTCCGTCGACTTTTTTAGAAAATGTTTTAGAAATATACTCGTCAAAAGGCAAATATTTTAAGAATCGTTTTCTTCTAAAACTTATTAATCCTCCCAAAATTAAGCCTCTCGCGATCTGATTATAATTTAGCCTCTCGCTGTATTAGCGTCACTCTCGAGAGTGAAATCAGTTAAAATTCTTTCACTTAAACAGTGCTTGAACACTTGACAGATAATTTTTTTTTTCGGAATTTTCAAATGTTTTAAAGCTACTCTACCGTGTGTTAATCAGTTAATATACGATGGTCTGTCCAACAAAAAAGCGCGTTGCAGTAGTTTTGGATTTGTACCAAAAATCCAGTAAAGGGTATTTTCCAGAACTGACTGAGCTACTTCAAGGAATCAAAAGCGTCAGAGATAAGATTAAGAAAAAAAATAATAAAAACGAGGATATCTTTCCAGTTTCACTGTCTGTGTCAGTTAGGCCCTTCTACACAAGAACCCGTTTAGCCTAAAATTTAAAACAGGTTCTAATTTTAAGATGTTTTTAAAAAATTTTGTACATATGGGTAAATAAAAAAAGTCAACATTCATATCCCTGTTTGGCCGAGACATAAGTGGTTCATCAATCCAACTGGAATGTATTGGTATGCGGTGATTTTATGTAAGGAAGAAGCCAGGGCGGATAAAGGTTGGGCGGTGAAACGAGCGCTCCGCTCTTCATTTAATGTGTGATGCGGAGTAGGACTGGCACGAGCGCTCTTTCCGCGCTTCCGGTGCGCTTGAAGGCCGGCGAAATTTTCCTTTTTGCAAACCGGAAATCCTATTTTCTTTCTGTAATTTCAGGCTACAATGTTAAATAGATAAATTCGTTTCATAACAATATCAATAAACAGTTTCATATGTTTGTGTCTGTACGTCTATAAGTCAAACTTGTTGGTCGTATAATGCCAAAATTTGAGTTTAATTTGAAAGTGTTGAATACCTCCTCCTTCCACTAAATATCACCTAATCGTCTTTCGCCGTTTCGTTTGCAAAAGCTTAACACTTCTTAACCTCAATTTTTACATATGTTAAAGGGGGATAAATTTTATATAACATAACAAAAAATTAGATTGATATATATTGATATAGTGGCGTTGTACTTCTTCAAACTTTGCTTCTCGGGTGCAACGCGCCATGGCGATTCGCGCAATGCGTTGCAAATCCGGCAACCGCATGTAAACAAAATTTATTGAGGTTAGTTGTAAGGTTTTTTCTCCGTTTTTCTCTCTAAAACAAAACAAGGTAAACAGTAAAAACTGAGGGGAAACTAATTTTGAAGTTTCGAAGAAACAGAAAGACGTATGAGATGTTTTTTTCAAAATTAAAAAGAAGGATGATGGTGATTGAAATTAGCATAATTTCACCTTGCACGAGCTGCACGCATTTATAAAATATACGTCATCTAGTTATGAAACACGATCTGCTGTCTTTTAGTTTTGCCATGGATGACATGGATGAGATTTTCCTTCGTGCTTTAGACAGTACTTAGTTGTTTTTGTTTTGGAATAACATCGACATTGGCGAGTAGCAGAATGAAAATATAATTCAGTGGTAGAGTCATGGAAGTAATAAAAGAAACCCTTTGAAAGAAATGTTTGTCTACTCCAACTAAACCTCCCGCAAAAAATAGCAACATTTGCCTCTCGGAGACAGCGTACCAGCACAAAGGAACGAGGAAGAAGTGCAAGAAAACAAATTATCAAGGCGCCATAATTCAGTGACAGCGGCAGTGTCTTATGTACAAACCACATCGCAAGCCCCGACCGAAGTCGAAAACAAGCAACATTTCTAAACATAGTGCCAGTCCACTGCATCACACCTTTTTGCTCGGACGCGCTCGTTTCACCGCCCTACCTTTATCCGCCCTGGAAGAAGCCGAATACAACAAAAGAGTCTTAGTTACAACGTATTTTTTTATTCAGAAAATCAATCAAGAACCTCTTTAAGAACCGAAATAGCCTAAACTTTGCGCTAATTACCATTTATATTAGAACCTGTTTAGGCTAACTTAGGAAAATGAAGCTTCTTAGTCGCGGGTTTTTACTGAATAGCCTCCAAAGAGTCTTAAGAACCGTTACACTGATAAATATTTTGAAAGGCAAATTTGTCGCATACAAAATTTTCAAAAAATTACATGTGCAGATATTAATGAGAACGATTGTCTCCATAGCTCGTTAAATTAACACGTCAGTGCCTTTCAAACTTGGTTCAACTTGTATCTCAAAGGAAGTTTAAAACAGTTCTTATCATTGGCCATTTTGCAAAATAATTGTTTAACGTCATGGAGCCTTCCAACTCGTTTTAACTTGCAACTTAAATAAAACAAAAGCAGTATATGACTCCTTTCAGTTGCGGGTCAATTAAGACTGGCTGATTTACATGTAACCAATAGCAATACCTCTAGTAACTTACATTTAACAATCTTTCAAACTTGTCTAAAACACGTTTTTATGTAAAATTGGTCAAAATAGGACATAAAATCCTTGGTAATGTTAAAAAATTTATCATTCGTCTTGGGATCACTACAGTCGTTCATACAAGCAAGGTAGGACTTAAGTCAATGTTTCCAACACGTATCAAACTACAATACTCAGTTTACTTAAACGATTGCTTGGAGGTCTTTTCAGTCTGGTTTCAATTTGAACTGTTTCTTTTCTCGAAATATTCAATGTAAGGCTTACTGCTACTAGCCTTGTTTTGTTGTGTGTGTGTGCTTTTTTTGTTTGAATATTGCTTAGCAGTCGCTAACGTTCTATCATAAGCGCTAAAATCTTAAGCGAGCGTTTCAACGAAATGTCGAAGAATTTTAAGCGTCCGTGTAAGTCCGACATATAATTGCAAGGACATGGTAATTTTCTCAAGTAATGCTAAAAGCCGGCCTGAAAATTGATGAATGAAACTGATTTTTTTTTCTCTCCAAAACAAATAATAACTTCGCCACAGATCATCAATTCGCGTTGCTTGTTATCCCCATTTTTTAAAAAAAAATGTTAGCAAATCATTGAAAGTGATGCCTTTTTAAAGAATATTTGGCCATAATTTTGAGCGTTCTCCTGTTTTCACAGGTTTCCTCATCATGCAAACCTTTATGAAGATACCGCTGGCTACGGTGTTATGCGGGCTGCTCTTACTGCTGATTACCTTGTGTTCTGCAAATGACAACAACAGCAGCAAACCACGTGACAAGGTGTGTTTTTTAAACAAACATTGTAATATATAGTAGTAATATATGTGAAGTGAAAGTCACTCAATGATACCTGAACTATCAACCTGGCGGAACTTAGTGAGGTAGAATGAATGAACGGTGATTTTTTATTTAAGGATGCTTGACTGACGTTGATTGATTGACTTAATCAATTGATCATGAATTTATAACGGAATGAATTTTTAAATTTTTCATTTAGAGTATTCCTCAAAAGACTTTACCTTATGGTTCCCGTGGTCATGGTGGGTGTTTCTGTGCACCAGGAATTCCAGGCCTCTCAGGTAGTCCTGGACCCGCGGGATCACCCGGTAATCATGGACCTGAAGGACGCATGGGCCCACGGGGAAAGAAAGGCGATGAAGGAGTTCGTGGAAGACCGGGAGCACCAGGCGTCAAAGGAGTTAAAGGACCTGCAGGCCCAGCAGGTCCACGTGGGGAAAAAGGTGAAGCAGGTTCAGCTGGTTCCCCTGGAAACAAGGGTGATACAGGTGCTCGAGGAAGTCAAGGTCCCCCAGGTCCAAAGGGTGCTCCAGGACCGTTTGCTCGTAATTGGAAACAGTGCGTTTTTAAGAAGGAAGATAATAGGGACTCCGGACTGATAAAGGTATCAACTGAGTTGGTCGTTGTAGATTATATAAATTAATCCCAAGCAAATTAATAAGTCCGGTTAAGACCGATTTAAAAGCTCATTAATAATTCACAAAGAAAAAAGAAAAGAAGTTAATGTTTAATGCATGAGTGTCTTTATATCTGATAAAGACAGGGCTAAACTTTACATCCAATTTTTTAGACCAAAATTACCCCAAATCTAAATATTAGTGCAAGTGTGAAGAATCTATATCGGAGATTTTGAAGCCATTCAAAAAACTCGGAGTCTTGTATTTTCAGGTTTATAAACTCGAGGTGAGTCCTTTGAGAAAAAAAAAAGTGTCTTTCGGAACTTGTGCGAGCTATCCATGGAATGATACAAAATGAAGGGAGAAAGTCTAATTTATCAGTTTAAGATATACTTATATGTTTTTTGTCTGAATTTGAATGAAATTCCCAGGGGCGTAGAATCCGTAACGCAAATACGCACGTGCGTACTAGAGAAATTGGTAGGATTTTTTAAAGATTTTCTGTTATAAGTAAAAGCTATTTGTAGCGTCGTGACTTGACTTTGTATTGTGCAGATTTGGTCCTGTCTGTCTCACTGTTATTCCGCATCGTTTTTACACGGTAAATACAACAGTTTGAGTAGTGTAATGAGATAAATTGGAAACATTCTTGAAATGTTTGGCTTCAGGCGATCCCACGATACATTGCGTATTCATAAAAAAAACGGAAAAGAATTTCGGTTCACCTCGCTGATCTTTCTTCCTTTGGCCATTTTAAAGGAGTGCATTTTCAAGAAAGCATCAGACACTACTGGGTTGCGTGTCTTTTATAGTGGCAATCTTCGTCTCTACAACTGCCATAGATGCTGCAGACGATGGTATTTCACTTTCAACGGTGCAGAGTGTTCAACACCAGGTGCCATTGACGGAGTGGTCTACATGATATATGGACATGGCAGGAAAAAGGACTTACACCGTCCACGTCACATAGAGGGAGTCTGTGAGAAAATCCACAGGGGTACTGTTCGCGTGGGATTCTGGGTCGGCAATTGTGCCGGTTACGGATCTGCTGATGCTAACACAGGCTGGAACTCAGTGTCCCGGATATACGTGGAAGAAGTACTTCCCCCACAGGCTTAATAACAACAGAGCCACAGTTTTTGTTTCACTTTCAAAGATAATCATGAACAGAGTAATATTTCAGGGGTAGTCAGTCCGCATTAAATCTCTTTTGAAAGTGCAGGGTTTCAAGCTTCAGAAGCTTACATTACATGTTACAAGATAACAACAATGTTTGAGCGACTTTTTGTTATCTCAATAATTAAAAGGGCTTTAAAATAAAACAAATTGCGTGAAATATGAATTTACTACCCTTTCCGACCTTTATATTCCCTTTGTTATCTTCTTCTTGATTCTTTGGTTTATCATTTAAGATTTTTTTTCTGTGCTTATATTCAGTTACAACAGAAACTCATAAGGAGTTGAAACGTGTAACTCTCATATGTTTGCTTCGTCCGATGCTCGTGATTATTCATTTGCGAAAGTACCATATTTGGAACGAGAAGAACAGATAACTGACCAATCAAACTTCGTAAACAACGTGACGTAATTTTCCTTCGGGTTCCCGCGCCCGCTTAAAAAATGGCCGACAACCGGGGGAAAAACTCCCGAAAGCCGAGAAAGCTTTCATTTCAAAGGTTGAAACTAGGAATATTACCGAAACACTGAGCACGATAAAATTGCCTTACCACCCGGGCCAAACGTAATGCACCTATCAATGTAAACCCCGTGGGGCGGGGGGGGGGGGGGGGGGGGGCAGGGGGGGGGGATTAGAAAATTTTAAAAATTTTTAGCAAAATACCCCGAGGGGGGGAAACAAAGAGATAAACAAAAGTCCAA